AGCCCAACTGAACCGCGCTCTGGCCCACCTCTTCCAACCGAGCCAGGGACGGCTAAACGACACTGGTCAAACACGCTCGGTCACGTTTAAGATTGCCTAGTGTGAGTACGCCCTTATATTCTCCCGCATCCCGCACACACAAGTCTTTACCTGCCCGCACTCGCCCATGAAGTGTTGTCCCGCACCGCACTCTGTTGCGTTGGGTCCCGCGATAGTGCAGGTCTCTACTCGGAAGGTGCCTGTTATAATGTTATGATCGAGGCTCTGGACTCTAAGCATAACTTGTTTTTCTATAACAAACTATAAAATATTTTCTAGAAAAACGTTAATGCCCTGGCAGTGGCAAATAGCTTTGGTTTTATATTTAATTTGATTACATTAATGTTTAAGTTGAGATTTACAAGAAATATTTTAACTGCTACAGTGTAAAAGGAATACTGCTGTAAAAAAGCACCTTATTTGTTTAAAGTGTTTGCAAACCAAATGTTAATGCACTTTTGCTCATATAGCAATACTTTTCAATGAAAAAAGTGCGCAATACACTACTTTTGAATTCATTATTGAATTTTGTGTATAACAATGCAGTTAATCGCGATTTAATCGCAGAAAAATCATGTGATTAATCATGATTAAAAATTAATCATTGCCAGCACTAAAAATAAGTTGAAATTATGTGGGCTGATGTCTTCAACAATAGCATACTGTATACCATTGATCAACAACCTCATAGCTCACAACAGATTTGCCTTTAAAGATTTATAAGTTATTGTTAAAAATCAATTTCCCTATGGAGTAAGTTTTACTTCCAGAAGCCAACTGTTGCACTCAAATGTGTTTTATTACATGTCATGCATTGCTTTGCTCATCACCGTATTTCTAATCACGCTTCCTCTATGACAGGTTTGTGCCTTACATCGGAATTGTCACAATTCTGATGAATGACTACCCCAAATTTAAGGTATGTAATGTATCATGTTTGAATGATGAGTTGTTGTTACATTGCACTTGTTCTAATACTTGTTCTTTGTTTCCTGACAGTATGCTGTACTGTGTTTGCTCGGGCTGTTTGTTTTGGTACACAGAGAATGAAGAATTTCAAGAGTAACGCCGTCAGGGAACACACGTCCCTCTTGTGACCAGTTTTTATGGTGTTTTTTTGTGAACATCCTGCACTTGCTCTTGGAGACAAAGGTCAAATTTCATTTTCTCTGTTGAATGACAGTGCATACACAAGAACTACTGGAAGAATTTGTATTTGTTCATTTTCCATGTAATACCAAATTCAGTTTTTGGTTGATCCGACTTTACAGCTGTACTTGCACCATATGTCAAGATTTAACTTTCTTAAAGGCTAAATTTTGTATTGAATAAAAATGTTGAGCCAAATTTAAAAGTGTGTTGTTTTATAAATTAATTCATTCTTGTTTATTCTCTTAATTTCTTACGTAAAATGTTTGTATAAACTACCAAATTTTGCTTAATTGCAACGTTTAATCGCAACATATAATCATTGCAGTTAATAGTATTCACCGTCTGTTTGATTGTGTAATTTGTAACTAACTGCATGATTCTTACTGTACATTTCTGCCATAGTAACCACTAAAAACCTACTCTTAAATATAATGTAGAAACTTAAAATTGTCTGTAAAGCTGCTTTGCAACGATTAGTATCGTGAAAAGCGCTATACAAATAAACTTGAATTGAATTGAATTATATTAGGAGTCACACACTGGTGTAAAAAAAAACAACAGAAATTGCTAAAATTCCGCCAATGATTACGAAGAAACGGCAAGTAAAACAATTAATTAAATATGACATTAAGTAGAAAAACTGAAATAGTTTTTTATTGTAAACAACGATTACACCGTAGGTTGTTTTATTTACAACTTCAAAAAAAATCATGTTTTACAGCGTATGTAGTCTTCATACTGCAGCCAGATGTATATCATAAATGTATTAAAATTAAATATAAAAAAATGCATAATATATTTCCTATAAGCAGAGGCGTCATGCCTATTCAAAGCCAAGTTGATTTTGAATACAGCTTCCAAAAGACGAAAAAATTGCCGAATAATATTTTTAATATTTGATTCGATCACACCGGCATGATTAGAACATTCAGTACGTCGATCACATCACCAGCTGCTAAATTCAAATCTGCGTTCGCTGGCTGGCGCTGAGCCAGAGACAGACGAGTTTGGCTGGTTCATTTTTTTTATTTTTTTATTTAGTCATTTAGCAGACGCTTTTATCCAAATTATAACCAATTACACACGATGCTGTTGAGTTTATGAATGCAATAACCAATCAGAGGTGTTCAGATGAGTCATCGCTAAAATGCCGGTGTTTTCTTCAGTCGCTCGCAGCCTGAATACCTCTTTCTGGCGAATTCTCGTCAGAAACAACAAAGTGCAGACGTGTGTACCAATTTGTAAGTAAGATACTCATTTCACAGTGTAAACAGCTTCAGTGATTTTAATGGGAGTTTTTGAGAGTGCTTGAACTCTAAACTGAAGCCAGTGGAAATGTTTTTTTGATAACGTAAATGTTCTTTGCTCTCTTTCTGTACAATGAAAGTGTTATGATTTTAGTGACATGTTTTTATGCATAGTTAATAGATTAGGCTACTTTTACCATCGCCCATTATCAACATAATCTGAAAATGCATCTATTTACATATTTGAGAATCGAGATAGCCTATTTCAAGATTTAGTTAACACGTGTGGGATTTTTTTCGAATAAAAAGGACAAAATAAATAAAACCCCCTCACTCGTGCCCCCTTAAAAATAATGAAAGCATGACGCCCCTGCCTATAAGTATGCTTAGAAAATGTGCAGCTTATGTTTTATTCAAGCATTATATGGAAGTACATATTAGTATCTTTACATTCATCTTTACCGTATGATTCATATGAATAGACACAGGCACGTGCAGAGGGGGGTGCGATGGGTGCTTGAGCACCTGCCCCTTTCCCCTTGATGCCCAAAGTGCCCTTTTGGCAAAGCAAATTTTTTTTTTTGTAATTAAACGCCATTTTGTGAAGGCCTGCCCAATCTAACTATTAGTAAAATGAATGAATTATTATTTAGTCGTAAATAAAATTATCCACATGATGATGACCTTTCACCTGACGATCTCATCAGGGATTATCCCTCACGTTCAGACACCTTTAATGTAGCGCACTACCAGGTTGCCTTCATAACGTCCGCGGCTGCCGGTAAGTGGAGTTCTCAGCGGAGCGGTGTGCTTGTATACTTATATTATTAAATTATTATTATTATACAAGAACTGCGTGAAGAGAGCATGCACAGCTGTTGTTTATATTGCTGTGTGTAGCCTGTGGAAGTAAGGTATTAAATATTAAAAATGCAGCTAACGTTCTACACACAGCAATATAAGCAAAGGTGCCTGTTCTCTTTCGTTCTTTCTGTTTGATTGGGAAAAGTTTAAAGGGCGTCGAGGGGTCTTGTCTTTATGTTATCTGACTAAAAAACTATTACTTTGAACTTTTTTTATTACAGTATTTATTTTAAAAATGTAGAGTGCCTTAAAAAGAATTATCACACACATGATAAAACAGGCTTATACTGATTTTCTCATCCTCCGATTTATAGGCTACTTATCAATCCTGTTTTTATCATCATTATAATTTTCAATAATAATAATAGGCCTAATTTAATTCCGTTTCTATTTTCAGAGTGATTAAGAGGTGCAAAGACATTTTTTATTTAACTTTTAAACTTAAAATGGTCTTTTCTGTTCTGTGTTTCTTTTTCAAAACTGCGTCACGGCATTTGCTGCTATCAATACAGAAGCATCCGTTTCAATACATGTCTCAGCAAGGAGCACAGCCCTAATAAAAGCCGTGCTCCATGAGCCCCCTTTATACTTTGAGCACCTCTGCCCCTCCAAAGGTCTCTGCACGGCCCTGAATAGACATACAGTATCTAGCCTATTAAAAAAATCATAGTCATAGTTCCTCAGAACTATCCTGTCTTTATTACATAGTAATACATTCGATTCATAACTATAGAAATGTAAGCTTTATGAATTCGCAACGCCTCAAAACGTTTTTCCATTATATTAATTCAATTAAATTGCATGCGCACAGCCAACGTACGTCACACAGTGTTTCCCATCCTCATTCAACCAGACTAAGCGTTCTCTGTCGTTATGTGACTTCAGTGATAAAACTGTGACCTCAGAGGCGTTTGGCATCCCACCCCACTCTGTTCATATAAATACCGTCCGTTCCGAGAAGAACGAAGAGCGTTCGCGACCAGTTGCATCTGAACAGAGGAATCCACCTACAGTTACTTGAGAAGATGGCCGTGAGTTCTGAAGACGGACATTGCAAATATAGACTATTTGCTTTCATTATGCTTTTTAACATATCGTTAAGCACCGCGGTCAGTCTCGATTTAACGGAGCTGCGAAATAAAGTTTCCAAAATAAAAGTGCATCCACGAGGGAATCTCTGGGCGACAGGTGTGTTTTAATTTAATCTTGTATTAAATCATAATGCAATTACAAAGAAACTACTAAATCCGTTTCCCAGCATAATTTTTGGTCTTCTTGCAGGTCATTTCATGGGCAAGAAGAGCATTTCAAACAGTCAGTTCCAGGACTCCTCAAAGCCTCCCAGGAATACTTTGGGCGAATCAGGCAGTTCAGAGGATTTGAGGGAGCTGATCACTCAGGAGGTGCTCAAAGTTGCTCTTCAGGCTCAGCTTGAAGATCCAAAGAGGACACAAGATGTTTATAATCAGGTGATTAGAGCTATTTACAGAATTGGTCAACTAAATATGTAGTTAAAAAAGTAAAAACAGTACACTGATGCTTTGTGATTATACATTTTATTCATTCATTTTTTTCAGGATACGGACTTCATGGTAAAGCTTTTGAAAAACTACATTGAAGAAAGGAACCTATAGTGACATTGCTGTTGATATAATTGTAATAAAATGTTATTTTGACAACCCTTACAGTTGTGTAGAAAATCTATGTGTGTGTCTGCTTTTAATGGCTTATTAGATAACTAAATATGTATTATTTATTCAACTGCTGTAACCATGGCTGGATACCTGAAAGAATATAATGAATGGGTGGATGGATTGATGGATGAATGAATGCGTTGGGTAAGTTATTAAAATAAAATCTGTATTTTAAAAAAGCATATGAAACTGCAAATCACTCTTATTTTACTCTATTAAATTAGCATTATGCCAGTTCCACCTAAGATAATATTTATTTTTTCTTTCAAATGAGCAACTATGACTAAGCAGACATCTCATAGAAACTAACGAACAACACTAGAAGGATCATACGCAGCTTTTCCCTGATTCATGCAGGGCTTTGGAGCATTTGTACATTGAGGCAAGGATTTGTTTTCTTTTGTTTTTTTCTTTTTACCTTTAAAATTGTTATTGAACAGTAATGTGAGATTGGTTACGATGGACACTTTTTGGTTAAATATAGAGCGCCATTAAAATGTTTCTGCACACTGTGAACAAAATGTTTATTTATTATAATATCATTATTGTTACAATTATTTATAATTTAATATAAGCCTAAGTATTACAATTATCGAGATAGATTTCGACTTTTTTAGAATTAGAAATTGAATATTAATGTAGCATTAACATGGATATACATTAAAAGCAACTTGGCTTACTAAAACTCATTGTCATTTAGCCTCGTGTGTGTGTGTGTGTGTAAGGAGAGATCCTTGAAAACAGTCTTGACAAATAAAAGTGCTTTAAAAATTATTTAAAATCGTAAATAATGTGCAGTTGTAAGTTTTTATTGATAATGGCTGTAATAAAATGAGTGTGTGTGGCGGTTGTGTGGGTATTTGCACATTTATGGATTCTGCATTCATGCAGTATAAATAAGACGTATACAAGCAAATTGCAACTTTAACAAAAAAACAAAACAAAAAAATCTTTCAATAGCCTATTATTTAATATACTGTTTTAATGAACGACAAGGCTATTCATTAAAATATCTCTAAAAATTCCATTCAGAAAGTTGTTCCTTTCAGCTGATGTAGGATATATAAAATGTTCTTTTTTTATTATTTTGCAAATCTCAGCATTTTGTCTTACAGAGACAACCAATATGTGATAACGCATTTAGATAAAACATAGTAGCAGATCATATGTTTATACCCATCTCTGTTAAATGATTTACCCACCTTTGGAAACGCAAACCACTCAAAACGGTTTAATTATAAGTCAAGCATTATGGGAACTGTGTTGACAGACACGCAACATTTTACCTTCTGACCCCTGACCCGTAGAGGGCAGCAATGCACTGACCATACAGCACACTACATGAGCGCGAAGAAGAAAATCTCTCGTGCAGCTCGGTAGAAAAGTATGAACCTTCATCCGTCATCCAGACTAAAGTGTTAAAATGCCTTTAATAGTAATGTGTGGTTACCCGTGCAGTGGTAAAACCCGACGAGCCCACGAACTGAAAGAATATTTCACGCAAAATACAGAAAGAAAGGTCCATCTAGTCGGAGATGAAGATCAAGGAATTGACAAGAGCTCTGTATATGCAGGTGAGAAGCTGCTGGAAGTTGATGATGCTTCGCGGTTTAAAGATATGCACTGATATAAGTGTGTGTCAGGACAATAATGAAGCCATTTACTGAGAAACACATCCCTAGTTTAAACACAGTATTATTACACATGTGCGCTAGCTATCCTGATTGAAAAACAAAGCTCTTAAACCTGCCTAAATGGTTGCTGGTCTTACTTACCCGTATATAGTATAATCTGGTTTGTCAAACTTTTACATTTAAAAAAATGTATACTTCCAGTTCTTTGTAATTGATCTGAATCTAACTGCAACAACAACGATATTTGACTACAGATTCTCAGAAAGAGAAGATTCTGAGAGGAGCACTGAGAGCTGAAGTGGAGAGGTGATTATTTCTCTTAAAATATCTCTGCTGTCATTTAAAGATGTGAAAGAGTCAGACTCAAACATAAGAATGATAATGGTCAAATGGCAAATAAGGATGTTCAAGATGATAAAAAGGCGATCTAACTTAAGACATATGTGCTAAAGTCTTATAATTGTATGTACAACATGTATTCATGTTGTTTAAAAAAACATTTATGCTGTTGTATCATGATGTATTGAGTCATGAATATCAAAACATTTAAGGATTTATGAATTACTGCATTTGTCCAGAAGAACAAAATGTTCCTCCTTTGTTTTTTAATTGATTTGAACTGATTTTGCACTAAAAAGCACCAGCTCTGTAATAAAGAAAGGAAGTATGTCTGATCTTATTTACATTTTTAACATTATGGATTGCAAGAAAATAATTGTTAAGGTTCATGTGCAAATATACAGTTTGGTCTAAAGTTGGAATACCACGCGTTATAGAAAAATGAAGACAAAACGTGCTGTTATAGGTCCTGCTGGGAATAATTTTACACCAATGATTATATTTGTTATATAAAAGTGTATAATTCTTTTAATAATACATTTATATAATTATAATTGTATACTAATTGTAATTATGCACTTGCATTAGAGTACAGTGAGCTACTTTTGATTGAAATAATTTTTCTTTGTACTTCTCTCTCTTTGTTTATAGGAAAGTAAATAAAGACGACATTGTGATTCTTGATTCCTTGAATTATATTAAAGGTAAATCAATGTTTACTCTGGTAAAATTAGTACATCTTTGCATTTTATATTCATATAGTGTTATATGTTTAGTTTTATTTGACCTTTAGAAAATGATTGATCCTGTACAAGAGTACAGCACATTTCTTAAAGTGTTATATTGAGTGACATACAGACTTGAGTATTATAATAACAGAGCTTGGTCTAACAGCTGGTGTTGCATGCGGCACTCTAGATTTCAGTCTGGCGTTAGATTGAGGACTCATTTTGTTTCATTTCTAGGCTACAGATATGAGCTGTTCTGTCTTATCAAACATACACAAACACCCCATTGCTTGGTATGTGAACTCCTAAAACTCATCTCGAACACATTTCAAACTATTTTTGTATGTACTAGTTCACATAACTCTATAACCCCTTCAGGTGTACTGTTTGACGTCAACTGACGTGAGCTCAGAATGGAATAAAGGCAGAGAGGCTGATTCTCGGTACACACAGGAAATGTAAGCATTTCTTGCTTTGTTTCAGGGTAGTTATATTAAAGGAATAGTTCACCCAAACATGACAATTTACTGAAAATGTATTCACTCTCATGTAGATGATGAGTTTCTTCATCTGAACAGATTTGGAGAAACTCAGCATTACATCACTTGCTTACCAATGGATCGTCTGCAGTGAATGGGTGCCGTCAGTATGAGAGATAAATCAGCCATGGTTTGAACATAAAAAAGCGTTTTGATGGTGGATTTGTTTCCACAAACATGCAGCATTTTGCTTCATAAGACTTTAATTGATCGACTGAATTCGTGATGATTACTTGTGGATTATTGTGACGTTTTTATCAGCTGTTTGGACTCTCATTCTGACGGCACCCATTCACTGCAGAGGATCCATTGGTGAGCAAGTGATGTAATGCTAAGTTCTCCAAATATTTTCAGATGAAAGATGGCCTGAGGTGTGTAAATACAAATAAATAATAAATACATTTTTTTTGGTTAACTATTCCTCTAGTTGTGTGTTTCTGATATTAGGTGTACATTACCATTCAAACGTCTGCGGTCAGTAAGATGTTTTTTTAAGATAGTAATACTTTTATTTAGCAAGTTTGCATTAAATTAATCAAAAGTGTCTGTTACGTTACAAAGATTTCTATTTCAAAAAAAATCCTGTTTAATGAACTTTTATTCATAAAAGAATCCTGAACAACATAGTTTTCAAAAAAAGAAAAAAAGGCATCGCAACTGTTTTCAACATTGATAATAATCAAAGTTTCTTGATCGAATCTCACCAAATCCGTTGCTGAAATCTGATCTTATCCATCACAGGAAAAAAAAAAATATTACAATAGAAAAGTTATTCTGAATTGTAATATTTCACAATAGGTGAAAAATTAACAATTGATTTTACTACTTATTTCACTAATACATGCAGCCTTGTTGAACAATCTTACTAGCCCCCAAACTTTTAAACGGTAGTGTATTTTTTTTTTAAAGTTCATAACGTTATAAAATAAAGATGCTACATATATTATCTAAATGTAATAATCTCTTCTGTTCTTTTAAACAACAGTCTGGATGCGCTAATACTGCGTTTTGAAGCCCCTGATTCAAGGAATAGATGGGATAGTCCACTCTTTACTATTCAGCAAGAGGACTCGCTTCCATTTGAAGCCATCTGCGATGCGCTTTTCAAACGAAAAGCACCACCACCTAATCAGTCCACGAAGAACGTAAGAGTACTAGTAATGCATTATGCATGAGTGTATATTAGCATTATGTATTTTTTATTGCCCTTGAATGGATATTAGAACCTGTTTCTCTTTGCCTTTTTACAGCAACCACTCTCATCCACAAACTTTCTGTACGAGTTGGACAAAGTTACTCAGGATGTCCTAATGGTATGATTTCCATCACTTTTAGGTGTTCTGTTATAAAAAATAGAAAAGCCATTCTTTCTGATTCATCGCCTATTTGCATAGCAAGACCATCAGTATCAATAGCGTGTTGTTTTATGTCTCAGGCTGTTCTTGAGTCACAGAAGACCAGCGTGCCTGGAGATCTCATTTCCATTCCTGGAGCCACGGAAAAGATATCCTTTATTCTAGCACGTTTAGCTTTAGCTTTGAATTTCTTTCTGGAAAATGTAGTCTTGGCTATTTGATATATCTCACTGTGACAACACAGAAATGTCCTACCATACACAGACTAAGCATTAGAAACGCTTACAACACGAAACCAAGATCAAGTCTGGAATTTTAATAAGCTTGACTGCAACTTCCTGACAGAAAGTTGATCCGTTTAATGTTAATTGAAGATGTTTTG